CTTGCCCAAATGACACTAACCCTTGGGCTCAAGGATTGGGCCCTCACACGCCTTCCCATGAAGAGAATGAACACAGCAGCAGCCGGGAAAGGTTCTGTGGGCCACTGTCTGTGCAGGGATCCTGGCCCTCATTTTTTGTTTTTGTTTTTGTTTTGTTACTGGGAATCAAACTCAGGACTTTGTGCTTGCCAGGCAGGCACTATGCTGCTGAGCTATCTCCCTTGCCCTGACCCTAGTTCTTAGACAGCTAGGGGCCTAACAATTACCCATGAACTTCAACAAAATGAGCCCTTGGCTTACTAGAGGGTCTACAACTTCTAACAAGATCTCAGAACGACCCAGGTTCCAAAAAGAAATTAAGAACTACTACCCCATGGGGGGGGGGGGCACACCCAATACACGTACAGGCAGCGAGTCAAGGACAGACACAGGGCGACAAGAGGGGGATGAGGTAACAAACAAGACAGAGGGATGGAAAACAAGGACTAGGACAAGGGGTGGGAAAGATGGGGACAGAAGCTCTAACTGGGCCAGCAGGTAAACAACCAGTGCCACCCCCAGAACGCCATCTTCAATGCAGATGCTGTAACAGCCCCACAGGGCATAACACAGCCCAGGACAGTGTTTTGACATGGCAGGCAGCAGCCACTTCCTGAGCACGGGCATCACCTCACCACTCCACCCTTTCCCTCCACCTTCAAGTTCTCCTACCTGGGTAACAGGATGGATACCACATACCTGTGAACATGGACAGATGGGAGGACAAGCCAACAGGAAAGGACGAAAAACAGGAATGGGCAAAGAGAAATACTTGCCTGTCTACACTGACTGTTCTCACTCTGGGGCCCCTGAACAGACACCCGGAGCCAAGAATCCCACCATAAGCCAAGTGTGGGGCGGGGTCAGCAGCTCTCACCAGGTTCTCCAAGAGGATTACCAAGGGAGGGCAGAACCTCCCTCCCCGAAATCCCCACCAAGACAGGCACCCCTCTGCTACAGCTGCCTAAACCCTTCTGTGGACACAAAAGCCTGTCCTCAACACTACTCTTGTCAGAGCACTAGATATGGGTTGGGGATTTAGCTCAGCGGCACAGCGCCTGCCCGGCAAGCACAAGGTCATGAGTTCAATTCCCGGTACCGGAAAAAAAAAACAAACAAAAAAAACAGAGCACTAGATATGTTACCAGGTGACACCACCTGGAATCCCAAGCCCTTGGGAGCTGAGGCAGGAAGATCACAAGTTCGAGACCAGCCTGGGTGACACAGTGAGCTCAAGGTGAGCCCGAACTACACAGGAAAACCCTGTCTCAATAAAGTGCTACCAAGCCTTACCTTGGTGCGCCCGTTGATGACGTAGTTGCCCAGCCGCCCAGCACAATGGCGGATTACAGTGTCCACGTGGGCCATGAGGGCACCGATGCTCCAGCAGCCTGGCTCATGACCTTCCACCCAGGCAATCTGGTCCCCACGAATGCTACGCGGCGGGATGGCCCGCTGGCTCACTAGCTGCCCATCACGCAGGCGCCCACCCCACCTCAGAGCCTCCACCTCGGCCAGCACACGGCCACCCAGTGCTGCCCCCAAGAAATTGTCCTTGACGCAGATGCCGTAGTACCGCATGCAAGGCACGATGTAGTCCAGGGCCAAGCGCTCAGGTGCAGAAGGCAGGGCTTCCTCCCTCAGCCTAGCACTCATTTCGCCACTGCTGCTGCTGCTACCACCACTGCCACTGCCCATGCCACCCTCCCCTTCTGCCTCCTGATTCTCCTGCCTGGCCCAAGACCGCTTGGCAGGTGAAGGGGCATCCCCACCATCCTCTGCCCACTTCCGTTTGGGGGCTTCAGGCCGGGCACCCTGGGCTGCGAGTCGCTGGCACTCCTTGGTGACCAGCGCCGCAGCACCTTCACTCTGCAGCGGCCACAGCTCACCGCCATCCTGACCAGCCAGGCCCTCCCGCAGGGGGCTGTTAGCGGTGGAGGTGGCTGCAGTTCTGAGGGTCCCACTCCCCGCCGAGGCTTCACCAGGCACTCCTGGACGGTGGCAGGAGGGCAGCAGGGTACAGGGCAGGTAACTCTCCACCCCCATCCTAGGCCGGCTGGGCTCCAAGGGCTCTGACACAGACACCGGCAACTGAGAGAGAGACTGACTCAGGGCCTGCGGCTGGCACGGGCTGTCCATGGCAGCAATGTCTTCATCCCCCGGGCATGGAGGGCACGGCCCGGGCCCATGGTGCCACCCAGCTCCTCCTCCTCCTCCTCCTTCTCCTTCTCTTCTACTTGATGCAGCTGGGGGTCGCCGGGCCTGGTGCCAAACAGGGTGAAGCAGCGGGAACTCCTCTTGTGCCCTAGGGGTGTTTGGTGGTCCCCAAGTCCACTGTTGTCTCTAGACACTTAGGGGTGCTGGAGGAAAAGGAAGAGAAAAAAGCAGCTGTGAGCACAGCTGGAGACGGGCAAACCGCGGGAAGAGGTGGGTATGCTGCAGGCAAGTAACAGCAGCATGACCAGGGCAGACCGGGCCACAGTGACCCCCACAACCGGAGGCCAAGTGCGGGAGAAGACTGAGAACGTAACGGGGTACAGCCGACAAGCATAAAGCAGTGAAGGGGAAGGGCCAGAAGACAGACACTGGGTGGACGACCACAGACAGAGGTGGGGGGAAGGAAAAGCACCCACGGAGAAGGGGGACGCGGGCCGGAGCAGAAAAATGGTGGAGGGGTCGGGGAGCTGCGGGGTCTCCCTGGGGGCTCGAGAGCGGCACGGAAAAGTGGGGATCTACGGGGAGGGGGTGAGGGCTATGAAAAAAGTGAAGAGTTGGGAGGGATGAGCAGACAGGAAACTGGGGAGTCCACAGACAAAGAGAAGGGGAGCCCCAGAGACAGAAAAACAGACAGGAGGGAAGGCCGAGGAGGCCAGCCCCAAGGGTCGACCTGCGCCCAACCGGAGGAAGCCAGCTGGGGGCGGACACACACCCAGACGGAAGGGAGGTCCGGAGACAGACGGACAGGCGGAAGGGCGCCCTGGAGGAAGGTCCACGGCGACCGAGGGAAAGGCGCGGGCTCGCGCACCGGCGGACAGGACCAGCGGGAAGGCGCCCGGCTCCCGAGCCCCTGCGAGGCGGACCCTACGGCCCCTCCGGCACCACGGGCGCGAGAGGCCGGGCCTAGGGCCGCCCCGGCTCCAAGCCCCGCCCCTCGG